TCAAGTATAGCAGGGATTGTGGGGCTGGCGTGGATCGGGCAGTGTTTCGTTCTGCTGTGCATGGGGTCGCTATGAGTCGGAAATGACTCGACGGCACTTAACAACAACAACAACAACAGTTAAAGTCTCCTACTATTACTGTGGAGTCATCTGTTTGCCTTTTCAGTTCTGTTAAAGTATGATTTATACATTTTAGGGCTTTTTCATTGGGTCCATAGATATTTATTATGGTTATATCTTCTTGTTCAATTGATCCTTTATAATGTCCTTCCTTGTCTCTTATGGCATTTTTTTGTCTTAAAGTCGATTTTATCAGAAATTAATATTGCCACTTCTGCTCTTTTTTGGTTGCCTTTGCTTGATGTGTCTTTTTCCAACCTTTGATTTTCAGTCTATTTTTATCTTTATCTCTAATGTGTATCTCTTGTAGACAGGATATTGATAGGTTATGTTTTCTTATCTAGTCTGCAACTCTCCCTTTCTTGAGTGGTGCATTTAATTCATTGACATTCAGTGTAATTATTGACAAGTATGAATTGATTGCTGTCATTTTGTTATATGTTTTTTCATGGTGTTCCAGGTTTCTTTGTTCCATATTATTGTCTGTGCTGAGCTCATTATGTTTATGAATTATGTTATCATTTCCTTTGTTGCTATTGTTTCAGTATTTGCTAAATATTTGTCCTTGTCCTCTTCTTTATTGTGATGTGAAGGTTTATCATTTTTCTTTGAGATTACTCTGTGATTGATAATTTTCTCCCCAAGTTTAGAACAGTCCATTCTATCTTGCAACTCTCTTGACTTCCTCACCATTTAGAAGTTCTGCAACTACACTATTTTCCCCCTATTTTTGGTTTGTAGTTGTCCTCATTTGCCAATTGATGTCTCTGGTTCTTGTTTACAATCTTGTAAGCTTATTTTACCTGGATACTTCCATAGTTGTGCTGGTTTCTGGACTATGTCATCTTGTGTATTATTGGTCAGTTGTTGTTTGCTATTATCGGTTCTCTGTTCAAAGGACTCCTTTTAGTATCTCTTGTAAGGTTGGTCTGGTTTTAACAATTTACCTTAATTTCTGTTTATCTGGAAATCTCTTAATTTCACCATCATATTTGAGGGACAATTTTGCTGGGTATATAATTCTTGGTTAGAAAAATTTCTCTTTCTGGGTTTTATGTATACCATCCTATTACCTTCTTGCTTGCATAGTTTCTTCCGGAAAATCAGAGCTTATTCTTATTCATTGTCCTTTGTAGGTTACTTTTCATTTTTCCTGTGCAGCTTTCAGGATTCTTTTTTTGTCTTTGGTTTTGATGAGTTAGATGATGATATGTTTTGGTGATTTTCTTTTGGGGTCTATCCTGTTTGGGGTTCATTGTAATTCCTGAATGGATATATTTTCATCAAATCAGGGAAGTTCTGTTCCAACCAATCTTGAACAATTTTCTTACTGCTTTTTTTTTTTTTTTTTCTCTCTTCCTGTTCTGAAATTCCAATTACATAGTGGTTATTCTTTTTGATGGTATCCCACATGAAACTCAGGCTTTCTTCATTTTGTTTTGATCTTTTTTCTAATTGATACCTTTCCGAAAAGGTATTCAGATATTTTTCTTCAATCTCATGAATTCTGTTCTTCCATTGATTCAATTCTACTCCTTTGCCCTTTCAATGTGTTATCTATTTCTGCCAAGTCAGTATTAATATTCTGGATTTCTATTTGTAGATTTTGTAACATTTCTAACTTTTCATTTATTTTGTCATTTTGTTCTTGTATTTTCTTTTGAAAGTGTTCTAGGGTTTTGTCTGTGTTTTCCTTAATTTTATTAATATTTTCTGTGATCTATCTCTCAATATAATTCTTGTGAATTCCTTATCAGAGAATTCCAATGCTGCTGCTTCTTCAAGGATGTGTTCTGTGTCTTTATCCTGCTCCTTTATTTTGCTTCTTTGTGTGAACTGTGATAATCTGTTGTCTCCAAGACATTGTGACATTATTGTACTTAGATCTCTGCTAACTGTTTGTGAAGGGTAGTTAAGAGTGAGTCAGGCTCTTCATGGTGGTCATTTTTTGTTGGCCAGTTGGCAAAGAAGGAAGAGGTGGCTCTTACTCAGTAAGTGGAGCTGTAGAAGGTACGAGTGTGGTTATGGGCATGATTGCTGTTTCCTACTCAGTTAGACAAAAACAATGATTGAAAAACCATCACAAAAGTAAAAGCAAGTGGACAAAATACACACACTGCATAAACAAACAGGAACAATCACCAAAAATAAATAAATAAATAAATAAATAAATAAACAAACAAACAAAAACAAAACAAAACCCTGCAGTCTGGGGAGGGGGCAATAAGAGAAAAGGGGTAGAGTAGGAGAATAATCATGAAAAAAACTGGGAAAAATGCAAAAAGTAAAAGGAGGAATGGGGTTAACCATGAGAAAGAAAAAAATGGGAACCAGGGACAGGGAAGAGAGAAAAAGCTGAAAACTAGAACTTGGGAAGGGAAGAACAAAACATAATAATAAAAAGGATGGGCAGATAATAATAATAGTAAAAATTTTAAAACAGACAAAAACAAACTAATAAAACAAAACAACAACAACAAAAATCTGGGCAAGGTGAGGCAGAGCACCCAGTTTCAGTCAGAGCACACAGACTGGGATTTAATTCCTGCTGGCCCAGCAGATAGGTGCGAGTGAGGGATGGCCACACCTTCATTCACCAAGAGGGTGTGGGGTATAATAGTAACAAGGGGAATATTGCACCTTTCCAGCCCTTCATGTCTGGAGTGTCCTTGCAGTTCCCCGCAAGTGCAGCCTATTCTTAAGTCTCTGGAAACTGAGAGAACACTGTCATTTAAACATCCAAAATGGTTGAACTGCTTGTAAACATTCAAAATGGCCACGTCCTCTGGGCAGGCAAAAGTCCACAGCTCAGTTCCTCTCCCTCTTCGCTGCTTTCCTTTTTATTCACTAGCCATCAGTGCAGTCTTCCATGCAGTCCCTGTCTGGCAGGGCTGATTTTTAGGTAAGTTCTTAGGTCCTGACACCACTTGGCAATATCTGAGCTGTCCCTGATATCAGGATCACTGAGAGACCTCAGCTTCATGTGTCTCTTTTTCAGTGGTTTCATGCAGGTTCTTCTACTAGTTGAAGTTTAGTCTACTTCTGTATCCTTCCTTTCAAAGCTCAGGGCTCCAGGATTATCTTCTGTATCTGTGTTAATTGGTTCCCCTTTTTCTTTGTTGAAGAGGGTCTGTATATTTTTGCTGCCTTTTCCATCATCTTATTGGATGACTCTCAAACTTTCTTTTCTCTATCTCTTCCTTTTTCTTCTTTTAGCCTTTCTGTTATTTGAATGGAATCTATTCCCCAAATCCATTATCATTTTATTTCATTTGGTTTTAACAGAGATTAATCATTTATTTAATTCATCTATTGATTTTCTTTGCTTGTTTTCAAGTCATGGCTAATTTTTATAGATCTAGCAAATAATTTTAAATGTATAGGTGTATTACTAAGGGGAATTTCAACCACCAAAGAAAGGAGAGCCAAAGACTAATGATTTATTTTATTGTAACATTTAATCAGTTTAAATTGTACACAAAACAGAATTTGATCAGATAGCATTTGAGCATTTGCAAATAGTAAACAGGCAACAGGAATTAAACATAAGAATGTTCAAGCCAAGACATAAGACCATTTTAAAAATCAAAACAGAACTACCAAAAATACTGTTTTCTTGCTTTACTCATAAAAATATTTCATTCATTTTTCTTATACATATTTCTTACATCAATTGTAATTTCATTGGCTTTAGTTTTATAATCTTTGGGACCAAAGACCTAGCGTCTATATTAAGAAACTGACATAATTAGGAAGTGTTGATTTCTATGGCAACGTACCTCTATTGGAAAGAATGAAAAAAATATCCACAGAAATGTTCTCATGTGTTACCCCTACTCACTGACAAGGGCATTCTGGGAGTCCTGGATACAAGGCATCTGACCATCTGTTTTTTGAGTCACAAACTTCAACTAAATAATCACTGAGTATCAAGAGATATCACCAGCAGTAAAGTCATTTTCACATTGGTCGTTGGGACCCAGGTCTATCCACTTTGGTCCATATTGTCTTTGAATGCTGCCTTGATTCTTCTACATGATGGCAAAGGAAGATGGAGAACAGGGATGGTATTTAGACTTCAGGTTCCAGCTGGTTGTGGTTGCCTTGTTCTTGGAATTGATTATCATGTTCTCTCCACCTAGGGACCTTGAAAGAAAATAAGATAAAGATGTATTATGTAGCTTTTGTCACTAAGCTGTCAGAGATTAGCACTGAAATAAAAGTGGGTTTCTTTTTCTTTTCTTCATTTTTTTTGTTATTATTATCTAAACTTTGAAAGAACTGGAAATAAAAACTACTTTGGGGAGGGGGTGGAAATAAGAGAGCTAAAATATATATCCCACCCACCTTGACTACATTCCCCAAACCTGTTCTCCCTGAAAATCCTGCTCAGCACACTGAAGAATGTGTTACTCTTAAGCTTTGCAGGAAAAAAAAAAAAAGAGAGAGAGAGAAAATGTCAATAGAATAAAGAAGGAGAAACTGGAAGACTGGAGGAGGCTAATACTTTTCTATTCATAAAACATTTGTGATAACACCAACATCTTTAGGGTTACTCACTGAGATTTTTTGACTTTGCATACTTTATCTGCTTTTGCTTACTTTTACAAAAGGTATAAACCTCACATCATTGCCCAAAATCTCTATTATTTTTATGAGTAGTTTTCTATCTCTCTCAGAGGAGTGCAAGGGCCTTTGCCACCTGAATTCTCTTTTTTTTTTCCATCTAGTTTACCCAAGGAGGGGTCACTATGAGTTGGGCCAACTTGACGGCACATAACAACAGCAACAACAACAAGTTTTTGCACTGGACAATACTAGAACTTCTGATTTTATCAAGCAGGACATATTTCTCAGTCTTTCTCTATACATAGGAAGTTCATCCCATTTTATCACATGGATTTCACACAGACATCTAGGCTTGAAACATATTTAGAACCCAGTACCAGGTTGGGCAATCCTACTTCCGTAGTGATACTGCCTCGGAAACCCAAGGAGGGGTCCCTGTGAGTCAGGGCTGACTCGACGGCACATAACAACAACAACAACAATAACCAGATGCTGAAACCAGTTGCTGTGGAGTCAATTCTGACTCATGGTTGACCCCACGTGTCTCAGAGTAGAACTGTGCTCCATAGGGCTTTCAATGCCTGATTTTTCCAGACCTTTCTTCCAAGGCACTTTTACGTGGATTCAAATCACCAACCTTTCAGCTAATAGCTGAGCACTTAATCATTTATATCACCCATGGACTTGGAAACACTGTACCGTACCTCCCAATAAACAGAGTCGTCATAACAGTGTTGGTCAGGTGGCTGCCCCCAGATGGGTAACTTTAGAATTAAACCTGTGAAGGTGGGGTGGGTCAAAAAGATGTTACAATGCTGAAAAATAAAAAAATTTGCATAGTAATTAAAATACTATTATTAACTCATCTGGAGTTTACATGGTTACTTTACTGTCAGAAGTTTGTTGTTGTTAGGTGAACATTTTAATATTTATCAATGGGCATGTTAATTATGAATTATGCTGGGGCACAGGGTAGAGGGAAATGTTTACTTCTCATGCTGACCTGTAATCAGCCCTCCAACAACTGCTGTTCCAATAGAAGAACCCAGGGCAGCTGCCTGCATGTCAGTGGTAGACCTAGGAAGCAAAGGAAAACAAAAGAGTTTTTTCTGGACGAGCCAACTAATCACGTTTTTCTAAGGGAATGAATGCCTGCCATCTTCTGGCCAGGGTGCAGCATTACACACCAAAAGATTTAAACATAGCTTGCAATTTTTCTTCCATATTTTTATTTTCTTTGGGACATTTGAGCAGTGTTAAAGCATTCTTAGAAGCATTTAATCAAGAACCACTTGTTGATTTATGTTTAGGAGTGATCAGAAGATCCTCATACTATGCTTATAGTCATAAAAGCTAATCTCTTTGTATCGCTATACAAAAGCTTTCTAAGCATAATCCGTTCCAGCGTACATTGCAGAGAACTTTGATTGAGGCATTAAAGTAAATCTTTATATGTCATCTTAGAAGTAGCTACATTAAAAATAAAATTAGGAAAAAGTATCACATAATTTTAGGAATGAAAGAATGTGATTAAAAAAAACCACAATGGAAATGTATAAGAATATTATACGAGTGTCAAATGAACTAGGAATATGGGAATCTCCTTTGATGTTACCATAGTGTCTCACTTATGTCAGGCAATTAGTAAATAGTTGTTGAAAGACCAAATGAGTGACTTTAGGAAAACAAACTGTTGGAAAATGAGAGTTTGCTGGTGTTTCAGCCTCATCATTCCAAGTGAGACAATACACTAAACTCAGATTCCTTTTTTTATTTAATTTGAAAAGTTTCAGTTTCTTTTAATGTACATAAATTGCAGAAGTAACATATGATAATTGTAGAAATATTAGAAAACACAAAAGAACAAAAAGAAAAAAGTTTAATATCCCATAAGCCCTACCTCTATAAAAATGTAAAATATAAACATGCATTTTTATAAAAATGCAATCGTAGCATAACACTGCTTTTCTCATTAAATAATGTCTTAAACGTCATTTTATGCCAGTGAATATAAATCTGTATTATAATTTTAATTGCTGCTGAATATTACACTGTGTAAACAACTATAATTATAGTCCTGTTGATTGGATATTAAGGTTGTGTCAAGTGTTTTATATTTTAAAAAATGTTGTGAGAACACATCCTCTAATAAACATGCCTGTGAACGTGTCTGAATATTTCCCTAAAATAATAGTTTTCAGTGATGATCCCAAAAGAGTTACACTTTAATCTGCTAAAATCAAAGTGACATTTTCAAACACCAATTCACCTTATTTCATGCTTTTATTTTGCTTTACAAATTGAGTGGATTCCTGCCTAACCTGAATCTATGATCTGTCTAGCTCATTGCATGGATGAACTTCTTGTCAAATGGTTCATACTTTATTTTGTAAAAGGGACAATCGATGGATTATCACTTCCATCCTCCTGGGCTTGGCTGATAGTTTTTTCTCTTTTGGGTCATTTAACTAAACATTTTGGCCCCTGTTGGGAAGAATCTAAGTCTGTTAGCTAGAAGGGATCTTAGAGATCCAATTATAGTAGAGGAAAATGGTAACTAGAGAGATTGAGTGACTTGCCAAAAGCCGCTTAAATAGTAGCAGAATTGGGACTATATACTTCTCAAGAGTCTTCCCTAGCCTCAAGTGTTCTCCACAATATAGTACTTCATTCTTCTTTCCTGTGGGTTGGATGGAAATAACTCTGTATCTCATTCACATATGCCCATTCCCCCATTTTGGTAGGAAGAAGAAAAAGAGCATGCAGACTGTGATTTTTTTGTGGCAATCAAATTACCCTATCTAGTAGGAGACAATGGGCTGGAACATAATGATTGTGAGGATGGTGTAGGACCCAGCAGTGTTTTGTTCTGTTGTACTTAGGGTCGTTGTGAGTTGAAACCCACTCAACAGTGCCTAACAACAATAACATCAGGAGACAATTTTCTAAGGTAAAGAAATTTAAATAATACTATAAATTAAAAAAGTTAATGTCAGTTGAAACACCTCTTCCAATTCAATTGCATTCTGTTAGTTGTGTGGGCCTGAGTATAAAAAGCGCAACACTTATGAGCAGTGGCCTGGATTGGTAAAAAAACAAAACAAGAACAACAACAAACTCTTCCATCACTGTATGTCTTAAAGATTGAGAAAAATCACCACTGGAACTGGAAGTCAGGAAAACCATCATTTCACTCACGTTGTAGACGCTCCCATGGCTACCGCCACAATGCCTGCGAGGCCTCCTACCACGCCAGGTAAGCCGTGCAGGTTATGGACCCCACATGTGTCTTGAATCCTCAGTTTAGTAGCAAAAAGTGGCTAAAATTGTGAAAAGTGGAGAGTTTATTATTTTGAAAGGTACATAACCCAAACCAAACGTACTGCTGTGGAGTTGGATCCGACTCAGAGGGACGCCCCCTTGGGTTTCCCAGGAGGTATCGCTATGGAAGTAGATTGCCCAACCTTCATTGAGAAGAGTAGCTGGTGGGTTTGAACCGGCAGCCTTCTGGTTACCAGTCAAATGCCTTAGGGACAACGCTACCAGAGCATAGAGCTCTATAATTGAAAGTAAAAAGGGAGTGGAGGAAAGTGCAGTAATAATTTTACCTACTGCCTAGTTGGCCCATCATATCTGAAATCCAGTCAAGTCAAAGAATCTGAATACCCTGGTAACAAACTGCTCTTTGCAGTCTATAGTAGGTGGATTTGAATGTCAGGGATTTAAAGTTCCACCTTTCCTCACTTACTGATAACATTTTAAATTTCCTTAAAAGAACACCCAGTCCTTAATTATACTTAAAAAACAACAATAAATTTGAATGAAACTGCCCTCAGGAAAGTTACACAAGTACTTAACATTCAGTTTACACTAAGCTATAAATAACTGATACCATATTCTCTTCTGTACACAGAGGAAGTCAGGAAAGAGACCACTGGCCCACTGAAATGTTAGTTGTATTTCTGAGAGAAAGGCGAATCATCCCCAGACAATGGGAGGTGCTTCTGCTGGTGGGAAGTGACAAGATGGTTTTGGAGAAAGTAAAGTTTGACTTGGAGGGTCTTCAGTACTTACAGTCAGAAACTTAAACCCAACCACGGAGATAATTCCTGCAATGCTACCAATGATCATAGAACCATATGGGTTAATCACCATGTCTGCGCAAGTACCCACAGCAACGCCTCCAGCAAGGGTTGCATTCTGAATGTGAACCTGTTTGGAGGACAGAAACATGGATGAGATGACATAAAGGAGGCAGAGTACAGAAGGAGTGATTGGGAAAATCTCAAGTTCAATGGATCCTGGGGCACATTCTCAGCTGAAATTGCTACTATTTTTTTTTTTAAGGGGGTTCTTTGTATTTACAGGATTTTCTTCCAAACAGTTGATGTTTTGTTATCTTTCTTCCCAGGATTTTTTGATAGTGGATGATTAATCAGTCTAATGAGACCACCAGTGGGAAGGATTCAAGGAAATCAAAAGATCATGTTATGTAGAACGCACATAGAGCAGATATACTGGTATTGGTTTCCTTATTTATGAGGTTCTTGGGATGCATTTGTGGTTATCATGAATGAAAAGGAGCATACAGCTTTTGTGTGACCTGTTCAGTCAATTACATTCCAATAATCAAAGAGGGAGTGTCAAAAACCAAACAAACTCCCTGCCGTGGAGCTGGTTTCAACTCATAGTGACCCCTCCTTGGGTTTCTGAGGCAGTGTCACTACAGAAGTAGATTGCCCCATCTTCTTTCTGAGGAGTGGCTGGTGGGTTTGATCTGCCAGCCTTCTGGTTAGCAGTTAAATGCCTTAGGTGCTGTGCCACCAGAGCTTCCAAGAGGGAGTGTAGGCACTTGAAAATGCTACACTTTATGTAAGAAAGATAGTTTTTTTTTTTTTTTTCCTCAAGTGTTCTGAGGAAAAGGGTACCAATTTCCATTGACTAGATTCCTCAGTAAAATAATTTTCTGGCTGTTTTGCCTGAGGAGGAAAGGTAATCAGTACTTTTAAAAGAGATCCATTGAGCTGTGCATATATGATTTTTGTTTTCCATTTGTCTCTTTTGAGACAATTTGTAGAGAATTGAAATACATGTCTTTAGCTAAGCTTAAAAAATAAATCATCATACCCTTTTTCTTCCCCACTTAGAAAAGAGAGAGTGACTAATCTGAGGATTACTCCACCTTCATTGCCATTTCTGTAGCTCATAGGCAAGAACCTCAAAACACCAACTTGGGAGAGAAATTTTTTTTTAACTTTTTATTTTGAATTACTTTTAGACTTACATAAAAGTTACAAAAATACTGGACAGTTTTCATATATCTCTCACTCAAACCAAAAACCAAACTCACTGACATTGCATTGATTCTGACTCATAGCAACCCCCACTGGGTTTCTGAGGCAGTAAGTCTTTCCTTCCGTGGAGTGGCTGGTGGGTTTGAACCACTGATGTTCTGGTTAGCAGTCAAATGCTTTAAGAACTACACCAGCAGCTCTCCTTATTGCTCATCCAGTTCTCCCCAATGCTAGCATTTTACATAATCACAGAACTAGGAAATTACCATTAGTACAATACTATTCACTAAAGACCTAAGTAGAATTTTTCTAGTTTTCCCACTAATGTCCTTTTACTTTTCCAGAAAAGATGTCACCTTGCAGACTAGGGTGTACCTGACCCAAGCCATGGTATTTTCAGTTGCCTCATACCCACGTTATGGTGTTGGCGAAGAATAGTAAATACAACATGGAATGCCAGAAGAAGGAAAAAATCTATCTTAGAAGAAGTACCACCTGATGCTCCTTAGAAGCAAGGATGGCGAGACTTTGTCTCACATATTTTGCACGTGTGATGGGGAGGGACCAGTCCTTGGAGAAAGATATCATGTTTGGTAGAGGGTCATTGAAAAAGAGGAATATTCTCCATCAGATGGACTAACACAGTGGTTGCAACACAATACTGGGCTCCAACATAGCAATGATCGTGAGGATGGCACAGAATTGGGCAGTACTTTGTTCTGTTGTACACAGGGTTGCTATGAGCTAACAACAACAGCAACATCTAAGATTCTACATTGCATAGAGTTGTTATTTCTTTGGGAGAAATATTTGCAGTGGAGAGACTAGACTCAGTTTGTATCATCCCACATCCTTTTCCACTCTTGAAAAGTCTTGTTTCTAAAGGAAGATTTTCTAAGAACTTGGAGGAAGTTAACTCTATCATTAAAGGAATATACCTCTAATCTTTCATTTTATACATGATTATATTCCCTACTGGAATGTTAATTCCTTGAGAACTCTGTAATTTGCAAGAGCACAAATTTAATGAATACATGAATGAATATATAAACTTAAAAAAAATTAAAAACATTTCTACAAGATGTGGGGTGTTCTGATTTGTCTGGTATCTCCATAATGCTACAGGCATGACTGACTCATCTGAGCAACTGTCAGCATTACTAAATTAAATTTCCCTGGGCATTCATATGGCACTTACCATATTGAGTTTGCCTCGATGCTCAAAAAGGCTGGAGAATGCATAGGTTGTGAGCACGCAGGCAGCCAGAGAGAAGTAGGTGTTTACCATTGCCCTGTACTGCTTGTCTCCAGGGTCAGCAATGGCAGAATTAAAGCTGGGCCAAAACATCCATAGGAAAAGAGTTCCTGCAGTAAAACACAAAAAGGATATTAGGTCTGATTATAAAGGACAATCCAAGGGATGCAATCTGCCTCAGGCATTTATGATGTCTCTACTTTTAGGCTTCATTATCTAATAGGATAATAAAGAGTTTTGGTGGTGTAGTGCCTATGGCATTTCACTGCGAACCTGAAGGTTGGCAGTTCAAACTCTTCAACCACTCCTTGGAAGGAAGGTTGGGCAATCTACTTCCATAAAGATTTACCACCTTGGAACCCCAAAGGGGGTTGTTATGAGTCAGAATTGACTTTATGGCAGTGAGTTTGGTTTTGACCAAATAATTGGGAGGAGTCAGTAGTGGTTCCTTTGTAGAATTTTCACCTTCCATGCCAGAGACCTGGGTTAATTCCTGGCCAAAGCACTTCAAGCATAGCCATTGCCCAGGGGAGTCTTATGTGTTGCTATGGCTGAACAGCTTTCAGCAAAGACAGACTAGGGACAAAATCCTAGAGATTTATTTCTGTAAGATAAGTCAATGAAAACCCTGGGGATTAAATGGGTCTGATCTCATTGTGTATGGGGTTGCCATGAGTTGGGGACTTCATGACAGCTAACAACAACAACAACAACTAAGAGGGTAGAAGAAACAAGGAACCAGCTTTAGCAAAGATAGTATTCAAGGATGTTATCCTGGAACATCTTCACAACTGTGATGGAGTTAACTTGCCCTTGTGTCTAACCAAATAGGAAAGAATCAGGCAAGTTCAATTCTACTCACCAATCATTGCAAACAAATCTGAGTGGTACACAGATTCTTCACTGTCATGCCCCCTTCTCAGGCCAGATCTATATAAGACACCTGCTACAGCCAAGCCAAAGTAGGCCCCAAAGGCATGAATTGTCATTGATGCCCCAATATCAGAGGCCTAGAAGATAAAATAACATTCATGTAAATAGAGGGGAACTGAGTCTCACAGTAGGTGGACAGTCAATGAAAGAATTGTTTCATTGGTTATAAACATTAAGAAAGTGAAAGAGAGAGGAGGATAAAAAAGAGCAGTGAACTAGAAACTATGGGCTTTAGAGTACACCTAACTGGCTTTTAGTCCTAGCTCTGGTACTTCCTTGTGATGTGAATTTGGACAAGTTACTCAATTTCTCTCAATCTCAGTTTCTATAAAAATGGGGAAATATCCATCTAACAATAGTTGTGATCAGACTTAGATGAGAGCATGTTTGTAAAGTGCTATGGTCCATGGTGGGCAATCAATACATTTTAGATTGATTAGGGAAATCATTAAAAATATTATGTACTACACTTGATACTTAAGAATGATGATTTGTGTTCACTTGACATAGCATGTGTAATAGTTGGAACTGTGTGTCAACTTGGCTGGATCCCAATTCTGTGTGGTTGTTCCCATGATGGGATCAGATGACTGTGTTCTGAGTGGCCAGTCTGCCCAAGGGGAGTTTCCCTAGGGGTGTGGCCTGCTTCCAAGATATCCAGGGACATCCTGGGAAGAGAGACATTCTTTGAGGGATTGGAACCCTTGTGTGCGGACTACAAACTTCTGTGAGTGAGCAGCCCACCGCTCGGCCTGGAGATCTTGGATTCATCTTTGTTGGAGTCAACAACCAGTGTACTGCCTGCCAGCCTTGAATTTCTCAGCCCCCTGTGCTTACAGAAGCTAAGGCTGCTGCCAGCCCAAACTTTCCTCCAGGGACTTTGGACTTGCCGGCTTCTATACGTTTGTGAGCCATTTTCCTAAGATAAATTTCTTTCTGTCTCTCTCTCTCTCTATATATATACACTTTGTTGGTTTTTGTGTTTCTCTAGAGAACCCAATCTAACACAGCATGGTTAAAGCTCACTTAATTGTAATTCAAATGTTTGAAGTGTCAAAAAGTCAGTTTTTCACATTTTTCCTTTTTCCACCTCTCTGTGTAATGACAGCTCCTATGAAAACCAGCAGATACCCATAATTAATTCACAGAAAGATATTTTAAGTGTGTCTTTAAGCCTTAGGATGATTTTTGCCCAATTTTCTGCATTTTCTACCTCTACAGGACTGTTTCATGCTCTGTATTTATTGAAGCAGGGAAATGATACAAATTTATTTGTTTACGATTTTCAAATAGTTTCAAACTGAAGTGAAAAAAAGATCTCCTGGTCGTTCTTTTCCTTTATGACTAGAATGGACAAAATACTTCCCTTGAATATCCATACTCTGTTGGAATGATTCCCAGTACCATTTCAGTAAATTTGACTTTTAGCATCGTTTAGTCTCCTAGCCACAATTAGGCCCTTCCTAGCTTGGAGAAGCAGTTTTAAGAAGGTGGGAGGTAGGAATTAGTTTTGCTTAGGCTTTAAAAATAGCATGCATATTTGTGTCTCTCTTTAAATGCTCACATATTTGTAGGCCAAAGAATTTGCTTCTGTTCCTCCTCTGGAACCATTATAGCAGTCTGTATTTAGCAGACACATATGATCAACAGGGTCTTTATCTTGCCTATTTACTTGGCAGCTCCATCTTGTGCTAGTCAACTTGTCTCTCCTTGCTCAATCCACGTGAGCTTTCTTTTAGTTCCTCATTACCAATCCAAAACCCTGTATTTGCTGTTACTTTGAGTTAAAATGCTTTTCTTCCTATTTTTATTTGATAACTCCAACATATTTTTCAGGTTCAGCTCCGAGAGGCCATCCTTGAATCCACCAACTAAATTAGATCTTCCAATTAAACTGAAAATTCCTCTATTTATTTTCATAGCACGTATTGCAATTTGTAATAATAATTACATTTGTTTATGTGTGATTCTTTGTTTAATGTCTATCTCCTCCACTAGACTGTAAGTTCTAGAAAGACAGACACCAAAACTATTTGGTTCATTACTGAATCATCTAGAAAGTTGTCAAAAATATTTGCTGCTGAATTAAATGTTCAGTATTCTATTTATCATCCTTGGGGTAATCAATAAGGAGCTCTGGTGACATAGTATGTAAGATATTTGGCTATGAACCAGAAGGTCAGTGGTTCAAACTCACCAGCTGCTCCATGGGACGAAGATGAGGCAATCTACTTCTGTAATGATCTATAGCCCTGGAAACCCAATGGGAGTCACTATGAGTCAGAATCAAGTCAATGGTAGTTTTTTTTTTTTTAGGGGGGTGGGCAGTAACAAATAGGATTTTCATATGGAAGAAGAAATTTGATTTGGTTTTAATAAAAGCCTTATAAAGGGCTATTCACCTAATAGTTAAATTATAAATAAGAAATGATCATTGGTAGGCACTATAGCATAATGAAAAGAGTTGTGGAATTAGAAAAATCTGGGCTTGAATCTAGATTCTGCAAAGTCTGTGATCATTTGTATAAATGGTAACAACAATAAAATATATGTTACAGGTTTGTGATGAAGATGAAATAAGATAATGTTTATAAAACCCCCAGTGTCCTATGGGCACTCAATAAATTCTTACTAGTTGCTGTGGAATCACTTTCTCCAAAATTTGCATTCTAGTGTCAGATAAGAGTTTATTCCTGCAGAGAGTGGGCACTTACTATATGTTGTGGCTTAAACAGATGCCCAAAACCAGACAAGTAGAAATCCTTTAACTCTTACCTTGAATATCTCATCAACAAGGTATTCATTGCCAGCAAAAACAGTAATTTCTATGATTGTCATGATCAGCATTTGGATTGGACTTGTTTTTCCCAGAACAGCTCCAAAAGAAATCAAAACTGTAGCTGTGCTGAAGTCTGCCTTTATCATGCTGAGGGGAGAAGAAAGAATAAAATGAAGAAAAATGTATAACCCCCCAAAAACTGTAAGGTATAATGAGCTATTAACCAGTTGCTGTCATGTCAATTTTGACTCATTGTGACCCCGCGAAGTCCCCATGGAGTAGAACAGTGCTCTCTAGAATTTTCAATGGCTGATATTTCAGAAGTAGATTTTGGGGATTTTCTTCCTGAGACATCTCTGGATGGACTTGAATCTCCAACGTTCTGGATAGCAGCCAAGTGCTTTAATTACTCGCACTACCCAGGAACTCTGTAATGAGCTACAACATCATTTTACCTAGAATGCAAAACCGCTCTATTCACCAATGTCTCATCAAGCGCTTTATGCAGGCTTACTCTTACCCCCACAACTTCCTAATTACTCTTCACCTCCCTTCACTTATACTGTTTCATTGCTCTAAACATTTCCTTTGATTTTACTTACCTGTGTTTTATCATTTTTTTTTAGGGTTTTAATTTGTTTTTGTTGATCTGATAAATAATTTTCTGGGTTGATGACTTACTGTTGCACAACAAAGACATGCGTTTGCATTTAAGACACAATCTTAGAAAAACAACCAATGAGTGATTCCCGCCCCCCCATATCTGAGAAGGAATGGATAGTAATATTATGAAGGGAATTTCTTTTTTTTTTTTTAAATTTTATTTTGATTTGGGTGAAGATTTACAGAGTAAATTCACTTTTCATACAGCAGTTCACATATACTTTGTCTCATGTCATTGACCAAAATTTACAGTGCAATAGCTCCCCTCCCACTTCCTCCCCATAGTTACCTCTTCCCAGTGCCCATCCCTCCATACTCTTCTGCGCCCTGAGCTGTCTCCCTGTGCATAAGCAGCCTATGAAGGGAATTTCTTGTACTCACAAAATCAAACCAGAGAGGTCATGGGCATGAAGGTGTGATTCATTCAGTAGAGCAAGGCACTGATTTGTACCCATAAATTACAACAATCTTCTGTTACCAACGAGAGACAAGTTTCCAGCTGGTTCAGAGCCTGAGTGGCAAGGGACAGCGATTCCTCTGAAAACACCATGGCTAAAGAATAAGGGATGCTTACTTTGTGATATCAATGTGAATTTTCTGTCCACTGTTGTGCAGGATGCCCTGTGCAATCGTACCCCATTGGAGGCCCAGAGAAGCAATAAGTAAGTTGATGCCCACACTGCTGAAGCCATATTTCTTCAGGAAAGTCATGAGGAAGCCAAATCCAACGAATATCATAACATGCACATCTTGGAACACTGGAAAAGAGAAGAGGAAAAACCAATTGGTGTTAGGAGAACACTGAAAACGTGTTTTGTTTTTGTTAACTTCTGTAGAGTCAGCCCCCAAATGGAATGAAATGTTGCCTCGTCCTGAGCCAGCCTCATGATCAGTTGCACATCAGACTGCTGTGATCCATTAGTTTTCATTGGCTGATTTTTTTAAGTAGATTCTCAGGCTTTTCTTCGCAGTCCACACAGGAGTAGGTTTCAGGAAGCTGAAGCCTATTCAACATCATAGCAACACACAAACCTCCACTGATAGACAGATGGTGGCTGTGCATGAGCTTCATTGGCTGGGAATCAAATCCTTGTTCCCCACGTGGAAAGTGAGAATTCTACCAACGAATGACCAGTACCCCCTGAAAAGGTGTTTCATTACATTCTATCCCATTTACTCGATGCTGTTACTTTTGTATTGGGAAAGTCTGCCACCAAGTGCCTCTTTAAAGTGTTTAAGAGCAAAGATATCACTTTGAAAACTAAGGTGCACCTGACCCAAGCCATGATATTTTCATATGCATGTGAGAGTCGGACCGTGAATAAGGAAGACAGCAGAATTGGTGCTTTTCAGTTGTAGTGTTGGCAAAGAATATTGAAAGCATTATGGACTACTGGAAGAACAAACAAATCTGTCTTGGAGAAAGTACAGCCAGAATGTTCTTTAAAAAGTGAGAATGGCCACACTTCGCTCATACTTTGGTCATGTTGTCAGAAGGGACTAGTCCCTGGAGAAGAATATCATGCTGGGTAAAGTGGAGGGTCAGCAAAAAAAGGGAAGACCCTCAACAAGATGGATTGACACAGTGGCTGCAATTATGAGCAGCTACGAGCTCAAGCACGGCAACATTGTGAGTATAGAGCAGGATGTTTCGTTCTGTTGGACATAGGGTAACTATGAGTCAGGATCAACTCAATGGCACCTGACAACAATAACAACAACTTTTATATACTGCAAAAGGAGAGCATTAACTAGGAGACAAAAGGCTGGGTTCTAGTGACGGCTCGGCTACTTACCAGCCATGAGTCTTTGGAAAAGTTATTCAGTAGTTGAGCCTTTTCCTGATACATTATGCATGATTATGCCAGTGTGCCTTTGATTCTCTCCATGACAAAGTTTTCATTACTTTCCACCTAAAGACATCTTGGACGAGCTCTGGTGGCTCAGTGTTTAAGGCATTTGGTTGCTGACTGAAAGTGAATGTTCAGCCACTCTGTAGGAGAAAGATGAGGCAGTCTGCTTCTGTAAAGATCCATAGCTTGCAAACTCTGTGGGACAGTTCTACTCTGCCCTATAAGGTTGCTATGAGTTGCAATCGACTCTATAGCACTAGGTTTTTTATTTTTTTTAAGGACTTTTGCAAAGTATAGTTCAAGCATCATCTTCTATTGCAGAATTTGCTCATACTCCCAGAAAAATGAATGTTTTTCATTTTTCACATGGACTTTCCCTGTATATGCCAGCTTTAATATTTGTATTAGTACATTTTACTGTGCATCACACTGTAACAGTTAATTAATTAATTAAATGTCCATCTCCTAAACCAGCCTGTGAGTTTTCTGATTGAAAGCATTAAGTAATTTTTGTCCTTTACTCCCCAGAATTTGCCTTAGTGACTTGTGCATAAAAGAGACAATAAGAGTTTGATGGATGAATGAATCCAAGAGCTAAGGTCTTCAACTATAAAATGGGGATAATGAATAATACCAGTCCTGGAAACCTAACTAGACCATTATTTGAGGCAAATGGGATAATGTCTTTGTTAGAGCTTTGTAAATCAAGAATCACCAAATAAACATAAAAACAAAAACCCATGGCCATTGACTCAATCCCAACTCATAGTGGCCCTATCCAAAAAACTCACTGCCATCAAGTCGGATCTGACTCATAGTGACCCCTCATTGAGTTTCCCAGGTGGTATCTATATGGAAGTAGATTGCCCAATCTTCCTTCTGAGGAGTGGCTGGTGGGTTTGAACCACCAGGCTTCTGGTTAGCAGTCAAATGCCTTAGGCTTTGTCTGCTTGAGCTGCTTGTTGAAATTTTCTGTCCAGCTCTTTTATCTTGTCATTTACTTTAGCTACTCTCTGCTCATGGGGCAATCTACTACCGTAGTGATATTGCCTTGGAAACCAAGGAAGGGTCGCTATGAGTCGGATCCGACTTGACGGCACATAACAACAATAACAACAACTCCCTGCTCAAGGGCAATTTTCAGTCTCTTCTGACATCCATTTTGGTCTTTTCTTCCTTTCTCATCTTTTTAATGACTTCTTACTTTCTTCATGGATGATGTTCTTTATGTCATCCCATAATTCTTCTAGTTTTTGGTCATTGATGTTCAATGCATCAAGTGCATTTTTTAGATGGTCTCCAAATTCAGGAGGGATATATTCCAGGTCATATTTTGGCTCTTGTGGATTTCCTTTAATTATCTTCAGCTTCACATTGAATTTGCATATGAGCAATTAATGGTCTGTTCCACAATCAGCTCCTGGCCTTGTTTTGGCTAAAGATATTGAGCTTTTCCATCACATATTGCCACAGACATAGTCAATTTGATTCCTGTGTACTGGTAAAGTGCATGTGTATAGCTGGAGTTTGTGTGTTGAAAAAAGGTATTTTCAATGAAGAAGTTGGTCTTACAACATTCTATCATTCAATCTACAGCATTATTTCTGTCACCAAGGCCAAATTTTCCAACTCCTGGTGATTCTTTGTTTCCAACTTTTGCATTTCGGTCACCAGTGATAATTAACACATCTTGATTGCATGTTTTGTCAATTTCAGACTGCAGAGGTTGATAAAAATCTTCAATTTCCTCATCTTTGGCTTTGGTGGTTGGTGCATAAATTTGAATTATCATAGTATTAAGTGGTCTTCCTTGTAGATGTATGGATATTATCCTATCACTGACAGGACAGATCTTGAAACATCCTTTGTGATGATGGATGCCACACCAATCCTTTTCAAATTGTCATTCCTGGCATAGTAGATCATATGGTTGTCTGATTCGAAATGGCTAAAACTGGTTCATTTCAGCTCACTAATGCCAAGGATTTCAATCTGTATGTGTTCCATCTCATTTTTGACAGCTTCCAATTTTCCTAGATTCATACTTCGTACACTCCATGTTCTGACCTATGCATACATCGGACTTTTTGGACACTTTATTGTTTACCAGAACCTCCTCCTAAGAGGGGCTGTAAGGAAACAGTGAAAGCTTGAAAACCAGCCCTTAGCAGCTCTGAGGGAAGTCTTGGAGCAGAGAAGGATGCACAATCTCCATTCTAGTGAGTAAACAGACTGACAGCAAGTCTCTCCCATGCCAGTGTTCTGGATGTCACTCCTTGTCTGACATCCACCCAGGGATCTGCACAACTGGGATTTTATTTGACCTGCTGATAGGAGATCAGCAATACTAGCCACTAACCTCAACCCATTTATTTCTTCTTTGGTTTTTGAAATACAGATGACCATGTTGGAAGGAATATTAGAGAATGTGATGGCTTTTATTGGCTAATTGGTGGTAAAAACAATGTGCCTGGCTGCTAACCAAAAGGTTAGAGGTTTGAATCCACTGGTGGCACCTTGGAAGAAAAGTCTGGTGATCTACTTCCAAAAATTCAACCAATGGAGGACAGTTGTACTCTGACACATGTAGAGTCTCCATGAGTTGACTGGCTAACTGGTTAATGATTTTTCTAAGCATCTCTGAGACTAAATTTTCTCTGCTTTAATGGAACACTTGGATTAGAAGCAGTGCAAAAATCTCTTCTAGTTCTACCATTTGTTTTATTTATTGTATTCTGTTTTGTTTTTATATTAGGACCCTAAAACCAAAATAAGTTAATTTGTATATAGCTTCAAAGCTAGTATAAAAATAACCCAGTTTTACTTGACTTCACTTATTTTCTTTTCATCACATCCTGTTATTTTCCTAAAGATTGTTTTGTTTTTTCTTAAAGTGCATGATTCCTCTTATTATAAAATAATTTCAAAGTGTTCAATAATTAACTAATTTTAATTTTTTTAAAACATACACACACACAACAAATGCTAATCTTGTGGTGACTCACACAAGACGTAACCATTCTTCAAGTTCTGACCACCTCCCTCTTTCAGGGAAAAAAAGGAAACAAAAAACTGGCACTTTGTATGGTGGGAAGAATTTCATTTATTAACTGTGCTCCAGTTGTTGATCTAACGTTATTTTTTTTCATTACAAGGGGGTTTAACAACACTTCCTCTATTATTCAGGTTGCCAGGTTGCTAAGGAGAGCTTACAAAGTTATGAATGCTCTTGGCAAATAAGGAGTCTGTATAGAATATATGGATAAAAAAATTATAAGCAATTAGGATTATGTACATATTTCATTCCTGTCTAAGAATTTGTGGGTGAGGCATCAGGGAAGGAAGCACACATTTAGCTCTGTGATGCAAGACTCTGCTAGTAAAGGATTAAAGTACTCTCTTTGTAGAGGCAAATTGATTTCTTTAATAGTTTGAACTTTTCATCGAATAGGTTTTAAGAACTAGTGATTTTCAACAAGAGTTGGTTTTGCCCCTCTGAGAACACTGGGCAATGTATGGAGACATTTTGGTGGTTGATGATACCAGGAGGCCAAGGGTATCACTAAGCATCCATGATGTGCATCATCCATGATGATGATCTTCTGGTTCAAATGTTAATAGTGCCACTGTTGAGAAATCCTGGTCTAAATAAAAAAACTCACTAGCCACTCCTTGGAAGGAAGGTTGGTCAATCTACTTCTGTAGTGATGCTGCCTCAGAAACCCAAGGAGGGGTCTCTATGAGTCGGATCCAACTTGACGGCAGTGAGTTTGTTTGGTTTTCGGTTTTGTGAATACAGAGTACCATAAAACTTCCGTTTTCTTTAAAAAATTTAGACCAAAGGAAAATATATTAGCCTGATATATTTAAATATTTTGCTTAATGGAGCAAATTTTGAACTAAGT